AACAACAACATATCTTTATTCCAAATATGTCAGAAACTCGATTCCATAGATGTCGAAAACTCGATTCCGTATATTAATAAATCTTGACTCCTAGAGTGTCGATTCCAAGGGGTGGAAATCTCGATTCCAAGGAGGACGGAATCTCGATTCCATATGTGGATGAAACTTGGATCTATTTCAGTCGAAACATGATTCTCAACAACTAGGAATCTCGTTCCCCACGATACCTATTGTATAGACAACGATTTCTAAGACAGGAATCTTCTAGCCGGTGGCGATTCCTCGATTCCGGTTCCTAAAACGATTCGGCTTCCCAAGCGTTTCCAACAACAATGGAGTAGACCTCAAAATCTAGAAAAAGGGGGCCCAATCAAGGAGATAAAAGTTGAAATGTGACATTGTGGTAGGAATAGTCATATTAAAGAATGGAAAAATATCTCAATAAACCTAAAATCAGAGTTAATTTCATAGCATCCCCTCACATTTCCTAAATATCTAGTGGCAAAAAAATTTCCTACAACATTTCTTCCCACCTGCTGATCTAAACTTCTTAGTGTCCTTTTAAGTTTATGCCCTTACAATTGGCTTGTACAAGAAACCTTAACTCATTCATGTCCTTTTCCCTTTTCTTCTTTTAAACTCTCTCATGCCCTCATCTCTCTCTCTCTCTCTCTCTCTCTCTCTCTCACAAGCCCTCATCTCTCATCTTTCTCTCTTGACCTGGTAAGTTGGCGTGGGCATCAAAAAGAGGGTGAGATGGGAAGAGGGGAGAGAGAGGAAACGAAACGCCAACCCACATTGCAGGTGCTCGAATAAGAATTCTCTAATCTTTACAAAATCCGGCTACTCACATAGTAGTCATTCAAATTTAAAAAACAGGTGAGGGCCACCAGTGGAGGTTGTAACGTCTAAGAAATAGACCAACATTTGTGGAAGCATAAGAGAAAAGACTAAAAGGAGAGAGAGGTGGGCTGGAAAAGAAGGGTAGGAGGAAAAGGGGAGGAGCGGGGAGAGAGACTTCAAAAGAGACCGAAAAGCTGGACCACTACTACCATGCAAGGTTAGTGTGAATCATGGGACCTCAGGCTACGCCCTCCTTGTAGTGTGACCTTCTTTCCTTCCCATTGTGTTTTTGAGGACCTAGATAGGAGTAAGGCGATTTCCTGTGGTCATGAAGTTGATCTTTAAATTCTAGACTCGGCAACAACCACCTCCCAAGCCTTACAATCCAGTACTACTTTTAATAAAGATCTGATTTGGCAGTGGGACCTCTAATTTGGTCATTTGTATTTTTAGTCATTAAAAGGTTTGCTTCCGAAGTTGTTTAGTTCTACTAATGTATCTAAATTTCAATGTGAAGTACGTGAATTGTTAAAGCATAATAGAAACTTTTATGTACCTAGTAATAATAAAAGCAATGTTCCTTTCGCTATTGTCCATTGCGATGTTTGGCATCCTCATGTTACATCTACTTTTGGTCATCGATATCTTGTTTCTTTTGTCAATGACTACACTCAATGTACCTGGATCTTCCTTGTGAAGACCAAAGATGAAGTTCACTCAGTGTATCTGGATCTACCTTATGAAGACCAAAGATGAAATTCCATATATCTTCAAGGTCTTTCATAAGATGATCCTCACTTAGTTTGTTACTAAAATTAAAGTACTTCGTTTTTGCCAAGGTGAGAGTATTGTAATAGAGTGCTGCTCTCCTATTTGTAAGATCATGGAATGGAACATCAAACTTCTTGTCCTTTAGCAAAATGGTCTAGATAAAGAAAGAATATTTTAGAAGTGTGTCGTGCTCCTCTCTCGAGTATGAATGTACCCACGAAGTTCCGGTTTGAAGTTGTGGCACCACATCATATCTCATTAATCGAATGCCAACTCGTGCTCTAGACTACAAGTCTGCAAACAAACTACTCCATCTTGATCGTCCATTGTTAAGTGTTCCTCCTAAAGTTTTTGATGTGTTTAATTCACTTATGTCCTCGGTTTGTACAGTACAAAAATAAATCCCAAAAGTCAAAGTTATCCATCTTGGCAAAAGGGTTATAAATGTTATGATCCAGTGTTTGAAAAGAGATTTATCACAATGTATATAACCTTTTTTTTGTACACTCCTTTCTTTGTCACCTCTCCTTGAGGGGGCATAGTGTGGAAAAGAGGTAGTTTGTTCCTCTTCCTATCACTATTATTTCAAATTCTAGAACCCAAGAGGACAGTGTGCCAGCATTCTCATGACAATCATTCTCATGATGCTAAAAGAAAAAGAAAGAGAATTAAAAATCTGTACTCGACGGAAATAGAAGGAAGAGGGGGCCACCACAGCTGACAAGCCTTCAAGCCAATTGCATAACTCTAATCTAGGGAATCACCAACTCTCAATGTGATGATTTAGATCTGCCCATTGTTGCATAAAAAGGTATACGAAGTTGCACATTACACCCAATTAGCAATTTTTCTTCTTATGAGTTTTTCCTTCCTATCATGCTTTTATGTGTTGTGTGCCTTCTGCTTTTATTCCTTCCAATGTTTACAGGACCTTTAGCTCATCCCAAGCCGAAAGTGGCCATGTGCGAAGAGATGAAGGCATTAATCAAGAATTGTACTTAAGCGTGGGTAAATCCTCCTAAAGACAAGAAGTTGGTTGGTTGCTAATGGGTTTACATTGTAAAGCACAAGGCTAATGGTCCAGTCAACAGATACAAGGCACGATTAGTTGTCAAGGGGTTCACTAAGGCGTACGGAATAGATTACCAAGAAAATGTTCGCTCTTGTGGCTAAGATAAACTCATTTAGGTATTTTTGTCTCTAACAGCTAACATGGAGTGGTTGTTGCATCAACTAGATAATGCATTCCTTCGTACAGATCTGCAGGAGGAAGAAGTATTAAATGGTACCTCCACCAAGATTTAAGGTTCCTGGATATGAGAGAAGTTTGTAGATTAAGAAGACCATTTATGGACTAAAGCAGTCTCCATAACTTGGTTTGCGAAGTTTAGAGGCGATGTCCAAATAATTGGTTATATTACGAGTCATGATAACTATACCATATTTGCCAAACATACCCAGGTGAATACCACTTGCCTAATTGTATATGTGGACGATATTGTTGCAACAGGTAATTGTCCTACGGAAAATGAGCAACACAAGAGTTTTCTAGCAAGGGAGTATGAAATTAAATATATAGGTCCACTAAAGTATTTTCTTAGTATAGAAGTGGCCAAGTCAAAGAGACAAATCTTTTCTCTTAGAGGAAGTATATGGCAATCTACAAAAATTCGGCCACCGACCACCAAGGTAGCCGCCAATACGGCCTGCAGATTCGTTTAAGGCGGGCACCTAGGCGGACCTGAGTGTCCGCCTGGTGCAACCTCTGTAATTGTTTTTCTTTTATTTAGTGAAATTAGGTCTATGCAGAGCGATTTTTTTATTGTTTGTACTCCTCATTTATTTTAGAGAGAAAAAGAGTCCTTTTTGAGTAGAAGTATCCTTTCTTTAATTTTTGTTCACTAAAAAAGTAAAATACTTGGCACAGCTCTTGAAAAAGTAAATTTCTTTTATTTAGTAAAATACCTTTCTTTAATTTTTAGAAGATAGAGACACACATGTGGCACATTTACACAATAATCACATGCACATAGCCATGATATTAATATTACTTTTTTATACAACTACACATTGCCTGCCATTAATATTAATTTTTTTATACAAATTGAAACCATAAAAGGGAGAAAATGTCCCCTCCCCGGCCCCCAAAAAAAACAGAAAAAAGACATGGGCTGCCGCCGCCTAGCCATCTAGGCAGCTGCCTCTGCTTTCTTGAACATTGGTATATGCTATACCTTAAGGAAGCATAAAAAATAAGGTTAGTGGGTAAATTGATATATTTTCACTCACACATCCAAATATTGCATATGTTGTGAGCATGATTAGTCAGTTCATGCATCCTCCTCAAACTATTCATCCTGAAGTAGCTTACAAAGTTCTTAGATATTTAAAATCATCACCAGGAAGAGGACTGCTACTGCTTATTATGAGCACTTGCGAGTTGAGGCTTGCATAGAAGTAGATCGGGCAGGTTCTACTTTGGACCGAAGATCTACATCTAGCTATTTTATATTGGTTGGGTAACCTTGTGGCTTGGATGAGTAAAAAAACTCCATTGTAGCCCGAGCGAGTCCAAAAGCGAGTACTAATTCATGGCCCATGGTGCATGTGATTAACTCTAGCTAAAACTTTTATTACGAGAGCTTGGTTTTCCTGTTAAGGGGTCGATGTTCTTGTATTATGATAACAACGCAGCTATCAGTATAGTGCAAAATCCAAGGCACCATAATCGAACCAAGCATGGAGGGATAGACCAACATTTCACGTGAGATAAGTTACCACCAAAGAAGTTTTTCTTCCATATGTAAAAGCAGAAGATAAGATAGTAGATAGTTTTACAAAGGTTGCTTGGAAACCTAGACTACCAGTGCTCTTAAGTAAGTTGAGCATGATTGATATATATGCACCAGCTTGAGTGGGAGTATTCTAAATGATTGTTAAAAACTTATAGTTTTTTTTTCTATTGTGTTTAAGTCCCAAAGGACTTATTGTCGCTCTTTACTTGAGGGTATATTTTTGCATTAATAAAATTAATAAATAATATATAACGGAAGAGAGGGCTTCAGGGTCAATTACACCCAACACGACTCTCTCTCTCTCTCTCTCTATCTCTCTCCTTTCTTTATGTTTTCTTATCCCTTATTATCTTTCTTATTTTTTGTTTCTTCATTGTCTAGCAGCTGTATTTTTTAACGTTTATTCATGCTACGATGAAAGATCCTTCAGTAATATGAAGAATTGCATCAATAACTTGGCCTTCCCGCCACGGTTAGAAGCAATTAACTTTAATCCACAATGTCATTGACGCAAAAGCTTTACTTCATAAAATGTCCTAGGAAAGCTTAAAAGTACAGCAAAGAAACCTCATGAAGTAAAGGTAATATTACCAAGAATTTGGCAAGAACCATTGAAGCATCCCAAACTGTAGTTCCATGATGCTTTGAATTTGGATCCTACCATATATAGAGGCATCAGCATCACAAATAAAACAAACCATGGACATCAGGAGAAAACCAACAAATGAGAAGGGAAATTTATCAAAATACCTCTAAGAGGAGAACTATCTGACATTTTACTCGTTCGCAACTATTTCAACTCAAGATCATGTGGTTTTTTACGGGTATTTTACTATTAAATCCAAAAATATGTGTGAAGTGGTAAATTGTTTATCTCTTGTGGGTAATTTGATAATTTTCCCAAATGAAAATATCCATTCTACATAAATTAGAAAACTCTATCTATACATCGTAATATCATTTAACATAGTCAATGTGAAAGGATGGAACTTTGCCTTGATGAACAAGGGTAAGCAGACATTTTTATGCATTCACAAATGGCAGAATGCTTATGGCACATGAAAAATAAATAGCGGCAAATCTGGCCATTGTCTAAAATTAAATATTGGTGTGCTGGGATTCAACCAAGTTGTACGTTCACTCTAGCTTAGGCATATTGAACATCAGCTGGCCAAATTTGGTGGCCTTGTATAGTTTGGGGACTATTAGAAGGTCCCATGGACAACAAAAATTGTTGCTTCAGAGTATGTGCCATAGCTTGTAAGGCATCTAAGTTAACTAGAAAGTTTATGTCATCACATCCCTGGTTCACAACAGAGTGCATTCTTCCTCTAAGCAAAAGTAATAAAGTTAAATAAGAAAGCATACTCAACTTCATCATGGCCAGCTCACGAGTAAATTTGAACAAAAAAAACAACACAGAAATAGTGAAATGGCAAAAACAAAAAAGTAAAAAATAAAAATTGAAAAACTTTTAGAGATTTTTGGTTGAGTCAAGAAAACAATTTGTTAGAGCCTTTGTGGATCAATGTGTTAGGAACATTTTGAGCCAAATTTGGATAATTTTGGAGAAAAATGATAAAGAAATCAAATATTTCCAACTTTTCGGTTCTAAAAACCCTTAAGACTTGGACTCTAGATTTCTTCTCTTTTGCTTTTAATTCAACAAATCAATATGGAGGCCTGTTGAGGGCTCCAACACCAACATTTTGAATCAATTTGAAGATGACTTGGTTGAGAAATGAGAAAAAGATTGCAAGAAAGGCGGATTGCTTTTAGGGCTCAAAAAAGGTGAGATTTCATGAAAAAATTATTCCAAAGGCAATTTTTGATCAAAATATTTTTTGGAGCTAAGAGGTATTGATGTGTGCCCAAATCGATCAAAATGGGGTCAGATATGGATTATTGGTTGAATAAACAAAAATTCAGAGAAGTATTTTTTTTTAACCTGTTCTTCACATCTAAAGGGGTGTCCCGGGCAACTCGCACAAGTACAAACGAGAACCAGACCAGTACCCCACCAATTCTAAGTCGACTTGAGCGATTCTGCGTCGACTCAACTTTTTTTTCTTTATCATTGTTAGAGACATTACATAAAATAAATACCCAAAGAACTATCTAACCAGTGTGATACTAGCCACCTATACGATAGTGATCATCAACGGTAATATCTAAAGAGTTAGTTGACGGCTCCCCAAGTGCCCTAATCCAGTATGCATTTGTCGACATCTTTCTTACACTTAGTATGATGTAGCTTAATTATATGATGTTGCTTAATTTTGTTGGATGCACAAACACCCACAAAAGATGCACAGACACTCAAAACAGAGAGCAAAGCTGGTATCCAGCAATTTACACAAAGAAAGTATAAATTCACAGTAACTGAAAATATACACAAGTTTCAATAACAAAGCCATAAGTGTAGTACGAGAACTAAAAGAAAATTAAGTATTTCCCGAAAACATCCTGAAATACTAGATAATAATAACCTGGCGAACCCCTTTAAGAGTAATGCTTAATGCAGAATACAAGCATAGTATCCTTACATTGACAATCAAAGATAAAAAAAGGAAAGTATATAATAATCCACATCTACAATAACGTGAGCTCAAAAAGATTTCTACGTCAAACCTCATTGCTAAAGCTATTGATTATTTCTAAACCGCTTGAAAGTGTCATCCCCCATCCATTTCCAAACTATCCAGTTTTGAGTCTTTATAAATGGACTATGTCACAAAATAAAGCTTGGTACTTAATGACCCCTATCAAACGAAAATATCATGTTTTCTAAAAGGGGATAGATGTGAAGGCAAATCCTTTACAGAAGAAACAGAACTTGCTCCATATCCATTATATAAAACTATGCTTACATACTTTATCCTTGTGAGCAAACATTCACAAACAAACAGAATCAAACTAAAAACATAGAGAAATAACCTTCAAATATACTTCTATCAACAATCATGTTGATATTCTGGATCTCAATAACTTCCATTGATCATCTAAAAGAAACGACTATAAACAAATTCTACCTGAGAGAAGTGAAGTAGCAGGCCAAGGACTTCAAATGTAATCAGGGAACTGCTGGGTGAGTTCAATCTGAAAATAGTCATAAAAATTGAAATGTTGAGAAAACAATATGCACCACAATAGCTGTTTTTGCCAAGAGATCAGTGGATCCAAATCACATATCAATTCATACAGAACAATACAAACGAATTCACATAAATTTTTAAGATGGAAATGTAATCACATGAAACGAAGAACACAATGTAAATGACAAACGTCATTTCATTGAAGGTCAGAAATATTGCATTAAAGCAGAGGAAAAACTAAGTAAAAAGTAACTGATGTTTAGCCTCATGCTATGGCTCCAGTTAGAGGATTCTATCCATAGTTGTCAGGACCGGGAGAAAGGTCAGATGTCGGTTTGGGAACGAACAGAGGGATCAAGAGATGAACGAAGATCCATGGGATAGGGATCAAGATCTGTACACCGTGAGTTATAGGGATCGTGATCCCAATATTACGGGAGCGTGTTTCAAATTTGTCCAAGATAAAATGATAAAAATATATAGTATCGATATCCGTCCAGCTTAGAATTGGGGCTCCCACAGAGGGCACTCTAACTGGGAATGAATTTCATTGAACGTTAGGATTAATGTTTTTTTGAAATTCAAAAACCAAATTACCATTAAATCAAAGAATCGTGTTTTTTTAATATTTTTAACACTTCTTTTATCATTGGAGTGTGTGTTTCATTGGTAAGAAGTGACTATAAAAACCCAAAATGAGGATTCAAATTTTAGTCCTTAGGCATGAAAGAAACTCTAGTGTTTGATGGAAATGCAGTGTCCTTGTTTTCCCTCATTTGAGTCCTTTCACTTACATGCGATTGGGTATGCAACTCGTCAAGAGCTTTCTAGATTCAGAGGGGGCAAGAAAAAAGGTCTAAAGGCAAAGAAAGGGTCAACTTGGGGTCTTTGTAGTGGTGGATATGGTCAATGAGAGGGTATTAAAAGAGAAAGATCAATTATAAAACCTTATAGAGTTTCTCGTAAGTACTAATGTAAAAGAAACTCGATTCCACATGTCAGATGCTTAAGTCCACATTACTCATGGAAATATGATTTAGATGAGAAGAATTTGGATCCCATTAATGAGATATTTAGATCCCCAATTTGCGGATCGAGATCCCTAAAGTCAAAAACCTCTAGAATCGAGATCCCTTGCCGCGGAGCACAGGATTGAGCTTGAGATCCCTAAATACGTTAAATACTATTGATTTAGATTTCTCTAACACATATGGTTTCAAATCCCATATATGTTTTCCACATAGAGGGACCCTGAGGACTCAAGCATTCTTCCCTCCCCATAATAATTCAAAACTTCTTTCTGGACCTACTTGGCATGCCCTGAATAGTGCTAATTAGTGTGAATCCTCATAGGAAGCTAATCTTGTTCCTTTAAAGCGAAAAGAGTAATTGTCTTAAAGAATGTATACCTCCTTGGAGAACGCATATGTTGTCCCCTTTCCCCAATACATATTCTAACAAATAGTTAGAAAAGGTGTGGGATTCTATAAATATGGCCCTGGTACTTGAGGACTTTATAGAGATTGAAGCAGAAGACTTGTTTTGGAGTGGCAGCTAATAATTTGCTGTGACATTTCTAAAGTTAGGCCTATTGTCCAATCGGAATAGCCCACAGTAGGAATCTCAAAGCTCACTCATAAACCTAGGCCCTTGAAGAGTGGGGTTTGAATTAGGGATAATTTAGAGGAGGAAAGGATAACTTCTATTTATCCAGCAGAAGAGGAAACATATGATGCATGGATACTTCAGAATGGGTGTCCTTGATGGATACTTTAAAAAACTATGTAAAATCACAGACACTTGATTTTTTAGCAGTTGTCTAGAGCTGTATATGTGCATCACAGACGGAACCTGTTCACTAGTCAATCACCAATAAAAGAATCATTTTCTCATTTACTATCATCTTTAAGCCTACTACCAAGCAATAAAACTATGTTTTCATTGTGCTACACTTCGCTTCTTCTCCCTTTGCGTGGGTGTGGGTGTGGGTGTGGGTGTGGGCGTGGGTGTGGGTGTGGGTGTGGGTGTGGGTGTGTGTGCGCGCACAACTCATTGTGAAAAAAGCATAGATGAATTATAACACTCATTCCCATTGCCTAAAAATTGTTAACAGTTGTGCCACCTCAACTCATATACCTGAATTGTGTCAACTGCTCTTACAGCACAGGAGGATTTGATTCCTCCTCCTCCCCCTGCCTATAAATATGGGTACTGGGTAGAAAAAAGTGAATTTTTTGATGCAGATTGAGTGTCACAAGAAAGAAAATGAGATGATCTACTGAATAGAAAATTAAAGAGGGAGCCTATAAGCCAGGCTTCAATTGCTAACCCAGGAAAAAGGATATCAAAAACTCAACAACGTTTGTAATGACATTTTTAATCTTGGTAAAACAAATAATTCCATAAGCACCGTAACTTCTAAAAACTATCCTAAAATCCTAAAAATATTAGTCAACAAATAAAATTCCTTAAAAAAACTCAAAAACCCAAAAATCTTCCAAAAACTACATCCTTAAAACTTGTAGGGTTATGGCCTTTAGAGGCCTTGAACGCATTTTAAAATAAATATTCTACAGTGGATGTTCACACTCCAGTCGGAGCAAGGAAGCCACCGAAGATTCTCATGTGTAGCTACAGGCCTGTGAAGGCAATAGCCAATTCTTCAACAACCATCGCACGGCATGTACACATGATAGCTGCATTCTGGGGAAGCATCACTATAGAGAGGGAACTATGTACATGTATATAAGATAGTGTTCCCTTGCACTATAGTGATATGTGCGTGTGCATCCTTATGGATATCACTTGCTTGTGTTTGGCAGGGAGGCCTGAAATCCACACACTAGATTCATGGTTTCGTTATTTACTTACCAACTTTGATAGTCCAATCATGAGCCCTTGTGATTGACTGTGGGTCATGGGTTTTGTTGGGTTAGTTTGAGAAGATGGTTCTGGATCTTGGTGGAGTGCCTCAAAGATGTCATTTATTCCTAAAACATTAGTACCAATCCACTTCTAGATCTGTTTTAAATGTGTCTCAGAATTTTTGCTATTATCAAAAATATTATTTTCCAACCTTATTTATGATTCTGCAATTTTTAAATGTTTTTCAAAATTTTAATAAATTTATTTTATGCATCAAAACTTTAAAAGGATGTTCTGATATTTCCAAACTTATGAGGGGTTTTGCAGGACCCACATGGAGAGCTAATGGCCCAACCCCACATGGGCCAGGACATGGGCCCCACTAGGCCCAAAAATCCAAACCTTATGGGAGGGACACCCCATGTCCTTTAATGATTTGTTAAGCATAATTTTCTTAAAGAGAATTATTTTTTATTTCGTTAGTTAAGCCTTGACCAGATTAGATTTGAGTTAGATCTTTTGTTGACTCTTGATTTCTAAAGTAATAAGAAGATGTTTTTATGTAAGAAACAGTCCAAATTTTATGAGATTGTGGAAAATATAATTCTGATCCAAGTAGAAGTGGACATGGGTTAAGGATCTGAGGGGTAATGGTTCTAGAATTCCTCAATGATCATGATGCCTAATCTAAGGAATGGATGGCTCAAATTTGATTCTTTGTTCAGCTCACAAATCACGTAGAACTCTGTGGTCAAATTTGAGTCCTATTGGAAGATGGCATACCCTAGGCCATGAGGGGCTTATGTATAAGGGGCAACCCTTTCATTCCCATCATGTGTTCTTGCAGAGACCTCTCTCTCTCTCTCTC